ATCAACTTGACAAAAATGTTTACAAATGTGCATCAGTACTTAGTCAATTTGCCACTAGCATTTTTCAGTGCTTTGACTCATTCTGGCATGGAATCGACAAGTTCTGCAATTTTATCCTGTAGGATCTTGACCCAGGCTGCACACAAAGCATCAAGTAGCTCTCCATGGGACACTGGTTTTCTGGAACTTCTTCTCACTGCTCGAGCAAGTATGGCCCAGACATGCTCGATGGGGTTCATATCAGGTGACTGACTTGGCCATAGGAGCCGTTGGATACCTTTCTTAATTAAATGACTATTGAATAAACATCATGGTGTCTATTTACTTTTGAGATGTCTCTGTACTATGAAACATGTAAAAACTTCAAGACAATAAACCATTGTAGGCCTGTGTAATTAAGTTTATAAAAATTTCTATCTTACTTTTTTCTAATATTTTGTTTATTAATGGCTGACATGAGCATTTTAATATACACTTTGTTCTTGTTTCTTTTTCAACTTCATGACAATACATTTTATCAAATTGAAAGAACATCATGATAATATGTCCAAAAATATAATGTTTTGTTTGTATAAAGATCAATCAAATGTACATATCTTGTAAGAAAAATGCATAAATCAATAACTAATGATGGATATATCAGTGTTCGAAATTATTTTTAAAACTTCATGATACAAACATGCATGGCAAAACTACTTCACATAAAGTAATTTGTAGACACAGACAAATGATGTAACAATTTTTTAATGCTATTCAGTGAAAATACATATACTGAGAATTGTGGTGATTATGATACAACAATACATACATATAATATACAAGTGAAACAAACTGTAAATTTAAATTTCATATAAATGTTGATTTAAATGTGCTACTAAGTGTTGTAGGATCAAATAATATTTGTTGGGAAAAGGAATCAAGAATAAACATCTGGTAGAATCACAAATGGGAATGAAAACACAAAATGAATCTCAACTGTTTCTTTTAAATTTTGAGAAAGTTTCTAGATACAAAAGAATAAAATGATAAGCATTCTCCCTCTAAGAATTAAACTGCAAACCCAAACAAGATAAGCATAAGTGGACTAAGCACATCCAGCTTGAAACACGTGTGGGAATTACAGAGCTATTCCACTTGTCTGATTATTTAAGTCCCTTACTTCAAAAAGCAACAGCAAGATTTGTTTAGTAGAATTCAATTAGTTAGGCAAATAGACTATCTTTAGACACAAAGAATAATAACAGTATAATGATCAAAAAAGTGGGAGTTAGATTCAATTAGCTCTTTTTGTGAACTGAATGCTTCACCATTCCCTATGGCTAAATTTGGTCAACTTAATGTAAGTGAAATTTCTGTTACCTATATGAAAAAAAACACTAAATTAAAGGTGAATAATTTTGTACAAATGAACATAATGTTTTAATGTAACATTTAATAAAGCTATGTACGTGCTGTTGTCAGAAACTTTGTACAAGTGAATATTATGTCTTAATGTAATATTTAATAAAGCTATGTATATACTTTAGTCAAAGAGCATGCGTCTTGGATGATAACATAAATTTTCACACAACATTCTAAGGTGTTGGGTAAATCTGAGACTAAAACTTTCCTTTCTTTTAAGAATAAAATTCAATTCCCTTGATCTTAACACTATCTAGCCTAACATATTGAACCCATGTGCTACACAAGATTGCTTTTACATTAGTCAATTTTACATTAATCTATTGCTTTGGAAGTCAGTTTCTACAAGTAAAAAACTTGAGTTATGCTGTAATTCCAAGGCAGCAGCAAAAATCGTTGACAACTAAACATACTCAAAATTTGTGTGCTTGGTAGCATGGGAATCACAATGACACATCTATTAAATGTTGTGTTCTGTAATCCACTCATGGTTGTTATGACCTTATGTTTGCTGCAACTGATAAATCAGTAGGCCAAACCATCGAGAAATGGAAAGTGGATTTCAATGTCTTTCCTTATCCTGTGAATAAAGAAACGAGGTTCTGAGCTAAAAAATAACTATGAACTTTAGTTTATAGCTAAATTAAATTTTTTTCAACAATTACACATTAACATTACTAATTTTAATATATTCATTACAGAACTGGGGCAAACAGACAACTGTACAGTTCACAAATACTTCATTAATTATTGTTGTGGTCTCACTGTGCCTAACAATGCCTTTACTGGTGAAACCATAGTAGCTATAACTGGACATTTGTGAAACATACAATTGTTTTAGTTAGCCTCAGTTCTGCAATTATGTAGTTTGATCAAGTATTAATTATGTATATGTCTTACACTCCCACTTTCTCATTTTACTTGTTCTAAAAATGAATCATATTAACACACACAAAGCAAACAATATCTTACAACTATTATAATATACCTAGGTTTCTAAATAAGGCATAACTGCTTTAAAATAATTCCCTTAGCTGCTCAAACTGAACTTGGCAATACCAGCTATGAATCTGTTGGTTAAATAACTAAACACCATTACTGATAGCAAGGTATTATTTCAAGTCATTCAGTAAATTAAATATTTTCTTTCTATAAGTTATAAATGAAGAAATAGTAAAAATCACAGAATTACTGGCAATTTGTGAAAGAGAGGATGTGCTAGAAGGGCATGACAAGTGGATTTGACTTTCTGGTTTACATCTCTGTAAACCAAGATTGAAGACTATGCCTTAGTAATATATATATGCTATAATAAGTAATTTATGTTAAACTCTAGACATCATAGAAGAGTGCTGAAAAAACAGAAAGCGGGCAAGTTGAAACGAACAAATGTCATGTCACACAGGCAAAGAAAGATTGAGAATTTATTTAAATATGTCTTTTTGAAATTAAAATTTGTATAGTGTTGAAACTTAATTGATCAACTACATTTCGAAGCTAAGTTTATTGGTATATATTGATAATAAAGTTGTTTAATTAAATTTTGTGTATAACTCAAAAATTCATGACGCGTGCACTTTTACCTACCCATATCAAGAAGGTTACCATATTTCATTAAACTACCATAAACTTATTGAATTATATCTAGCTGTAGCTGTAAAAAAATGTGTATAATTTGATTTGTTACTTCTATCATATTTTAGGTTGTGAAATTTCCAAACATTTTTGTAAGACAGTGTTTTGAAAAACCATTCAAAATGCTTCCTTTCATCTTAACATTGCACTTTCCTTTATTACTGTCAGAATGTTTAATTTTTATATATATCCAGTCAGTTTCAACTTGATTAATATTTATACTTTTATTTAGTTTGCTGATCACAGTAGTCATCAATTACAGCTAAAAATCTTAAACAGATAGCAGACTGACAAAGATTCATTTGTTATCTACATCCTGACCTTACACAAAGATATCACAATTACCTTTCTAAAGCTATGTAACAATATTTTGCTAGAAATATTTTTGGTTAAGATAAATTTATTATATTTAATAAATGTAGTTTATTTTCAATAAATAAAAAGTTATTTTACTTATTTACACTATACAAATATGATACACTTCACAATATTATTGAACAAATAAGGATTTGAGTCATTTGAATATTTTGTTTTTGTCTATTTGTACTCTATAAACCTAACTAAGCTTACTCAATGTCTTGTCATAATAGAATGTTTCTGCAACATTTAATTAGATACAATCTAACACAAAACACTTTTGAGAAATAAAAATGTCTAAAGAAACTACAGAAAAATTTTCAGATCTGTGATTTGTTCCTTAGTCTTATTGCCCAAATTACTTTGTTTACTTTACCTTGACTAAATACTTTGTAATCTGCTCTATTCAGTGGCATTTAAACTTTATTGTAATTACTTTCAAAGCTGTGCATCATTAATGACTGTTCAGACCACATTCTGTATCATAAAAGGTTTGGAATGATGGGCTGTTATAACCTCAAATATAGAAGGAAAATAACAAGGGTTTGTTTATTTGTAGTTAAGCACAAAGCTACGCAATGGTCTATCTACGCTTTGCCCACCACGGGTATTAAAACTCAGTTTCTAGCATTGTAAGTCCACAGATGTACCGCTGTTCCACTGAGGGGCAAATAACAAAGGCTGGGTAGAAAGATTCTAAAAACATTTTTGTGTGTTGGTAAGATTCCACAGAACTTCACAAAAATAAAGATTTAAAATGTTTTCTTCACAAATTAAATATTACAAAATCATAAAATATCAATTCAAAAATATTTTTGAAATAGTTAAAATTATCATCTTTACATACCTTTTGAAACTTGACATGCAAATGTACACTTGACAACTGAAACATTCTAGCTGGTCAAGATAGTGGCTATAGCCAACATGCCTAAACTGATCTACTTTGAACATTATGAAGCATGTGCATTTCTCTCTATGGCATCGTCTTCTTTGTAAATGATCATTGTACGAATGTTTACTATTGCACTTACTTTATAAGTTGCTATAAATTTCTGTCAGCCACCTAATGTTTTTCATTTTTTAAGGAAGAATTAAAAATATAGTGATTTGAATGTCTATGTTATCTATTATAAATATCCTTTTTAAGCAACTATGCAATACAATTAATGTTACAAGACGATAAAAATAAAAAAGAATAACCTATTGATAAAAAACAAAGATGGATACAAACTCTTACCTCTGCCTTTTTTCAACTTTCCTTCAACCCTGTGTACAAAACAAAATGAGCTATAGTAAGATATATACTACTATAATGTAGAATGTAAACATGTTCAAAAAATCGAAACACTGATCACACATTTCCAAAAACTTTGTGGAAATTTTCAGACACTTAGGAATGATTTCTCTGTATTATAGCAAAAGCATAACAGCTAAATTTCAACAGAATGTTTGCTTTAAATCTTATGTATGTTATATAAACATTTAACGAAAATAACATGTCTCGAGTCAGTTAATGTTGAACCCCTCCCCTCACAGAATTATTTATTTATATTGTACACGAAATATTTTTAATTTAAAAACAAGTACATATAAATTTTAATATTAACTCACTTCTGTCTTGCTTTCTTTGAAGTCTTTTTCATTTTTTGAGCTGTGCTCATTTTGGGAATTTTAGATGGGAGGTTCCCTGTGGGAGTTTGGCTTTCATTAATTGCTGAGGAACTAGAGCTACTTGAACTGCTACTGCTTGATGTGTTGGTTTTGACAGCATTGGTTGTCACAGTCGGTGTCTGTATTTTTTCAACATCCTCACTTCCACTGTTAGCATTCTGTGACTCTGTTTCACTCCCTCGCTCTACAGAATAACCAACTTTCATCATAGCAACAGTGAACAATTCCCTCAAGATAACAAATGTTAGAGAATAAAATTACACTTGGTGCAATATTAGGGTGATTTTTGTTTTGTAAAGTACATCTCTTTTATTGTAAATGCCAAAGAATATGTGAATAAGCAACTGTTCAAGCTTATTTTAAGAAACTTTCTAGGACTGTATTTTTTCTAAGTAGCCTAAATTTAAAAAATTAAGATAACACCATCAGACAATCAATCGAAAATGTGTTTTCAGAGTACATAACTAGTCCAGTAAGGAACTGGATTAATGAACATGTTTAAAAGTGATTGTATTATACAAAGCTGTTAAACATAAATTACAGTAAAAACCATCATAACTTTCTTAACAATTGAACGTAAAATAGCAAACATTAATATTTTTCCATTATCAGCAATCTCAAAAATTAAAGACTAGGCTATTTACAGCATTCAACACTGATCTTTTTTTTTTTTGCCATATTAGTAATCTGATACCTAAGGTTTAATGTATAGTAATATTTCTTTGCCACTATACACTTGAATGACAACAGTATTCAGATTTTGCATGTGATGTCACAAGCTTGGAAATCCCAGGGTCTCGGCCATTGTTGACATCAAGCTACTGCATGTTTATTCTAGGTTTAGCAGTGTGAACTTAACTTTACTTGGCTTAAACGACTTAATGCCTTGGCTTCATCAGGTACCATCACAGTAATAACTTGTTGTGTTGTTGGATGTAGCAACAGACAGGAACAAAAGCCCGGTTTTACTTTCTATCATTTTCCAAAATACAAAGAGTGACAGAATCGATGGATTTCAGCCTTCAATAAGAAAGACTGGGAACTATCAGACTACAGCCATCTGTGTAGTGAACTTTTTATAGCAAAGTATGAATGCAAATTTTTCAATAGTTATAAATAAATATCAGATAAATGTGCCCTTTTATACTAAGGGATAAAAATCCAAGTAAAAGTTTTGATAACATGACAGTATGGCCTGCATTATTGCCCAAAATGACACACAAAACACAACAAACAAACTTATCAGAAGCCTTGCCTCTGCCTTGTGGCTTGGCTCAAACATAGATTAGAAGTCCCATGGTCATTTCAGTATGATATTTGAGTAATATTTTCATAAAAACACTGAGATCGGACATGCAATATACTTTATCAGTACATCACATTATAAATGACATTTCAATGTAAGAATTTTCCTGAAAGTCAGGAAATTTTACCACATGAACCAAACAGATCAGAAATAGTTTCACTTTAATTCATTTCTTCATGAATAATTATTTTTGAATCATAATATTAATAGTCTCAGACAGGCTGCCAATACACATAATTCTGTTGATTAAATTTCCAGGTGCAAAGAGTGATCCTCCATTTTGCCCTGACTATATTCCTACTGTGTTTTTTCACATCAAGTCACCCCCAAAGAGATGAGCAGTGAAGAATATGACCAAATTTATACACTCCAGCAATGTAAAAAAGGAAGTTGTGATGGTAATGATGTTGGAAAATGATTCATCTGGTAAAGCGTATGGATCTCTTTGAAAGCCAGATAGCTTCAGCTTCTCCAGGTATTGCTGTCGATGTTCTCCCTGCAGATGCTTAACATCCTCAGATTAATGTTAGTGACAAAGTATCTGACATAATTTATTGCACTTTTGACTCTGCTGAGTTTATCTCACACATGGTATATCAGGATACTATAGACTCTAGGGTGACATCCAAAATGATGGGCAACCATGCATCACATGATTTTGGTCTGCAAAACCTCAATAAAACAGTAAAAGTAACCTATAAACTTCTTAGTTATAGAACTATATTTGCCATGCAAAAATATATTATGGCAAAAATTATGTACAGACTATTATAATTGATAAAGAATATCCTGGATGTGATCCTAAGCATTATGTAACACTTACTGTATGTTTAAATATAAAAGTATAGTTCTCTTACCTTTGTCTTCTTTTTCAATAATTCCACTGACTGCCTAAAAAATCAAGTACTTTTTTCACAACAAATATCTATAAAGTGGTATACAATTTGTAACTACAAACTAAGGTTTCACCCTACTTTGTACAAATATAAAGCAAACTTCAACTGTCCAACATTCATTTATCTGATAAAAACCTCAAATGATCTAGATTTAAATGTCAACTGACTACATTTATATCTTTAAAGAGATTAATAAAGAGTAAAAAACTTTAAAAAAAGGTGAGTTTGTTATAAGCAGTATCTTTAAAGACCTTATATTAGCACATTGAATCATAATTTACAAAACTTGAAAGTATATTTTAAAACCATATCTATACTTGAAAACAACATGCACATGACATTCAAAACAACATATGATTACTTTGGCTACTCCTCTATGTTAACAATTTAAGGTAATTGCAAAAAAGTCTTACTGCCATAGATGTTATTGATGATTTAGAAAACAAACGCTCGGCTTCCTTGAATTTTCTGTTTCTTTTATCTGCTTTGCTATTGGTGTTTCTGTAAGTATAAAAATAAAAATATCTCAATCAATCATCAGACTGAAGAGAAACATATAGAAATTATATTCAGAGGATTTAATTTCTTTTAAATAATGACAAAATTAAACTGACATGACAAGGAACAAAGTTATTTTTACCATAACAACCCAAGTAAAACTTAAAAAGCAGGGACAAATCACAAAGATTAATCTAATTTGTCTTTTTTAACTTATATGCTATATATGTTTTTACTTCATATATTAATTTAAATTTGGATACTCAAATGCTGAAGTATTATTACAAAAATGCAAAGTTCTCCTTCAGAATATCAAAACAGAAAGTTTCTCAAAATATGAAAAAAAAGGAAATTAAATAGCTTTAAAAACAAATTTATCAGTTAGATCAAGTGCTGAAATACATCATGAAAAACTTGCCTATAAAACTTGTAAAAGAGACAACATTTCAGCATATATATACATGAATCTTCAAGTTTGTGGCTGGGTTAAATATTTAGTGTTAAGCTGTGGCTGCTATCATGAAAGGACATTATCCTAATGAAGGCTGAATCTGATTCAGTGATGTCCAAATATTGTTATTTTGTGATCTTTGAGTTTCCATTATAAGCTTGTTTATGAATGATTCTGCAGTTATTTTAGGGATGTTGTGACTAAAGTCACTTGCATGTTCTGACATGATGAAAGTATTTGTTTTCTTGAGATGAACTGAATTCTTTCAGTTACTGCCAGTTTCTTTTTGAAACAACTTAGTAAAAACCTAAAAACTGAAATTTTTTTATTTGTGGATTATACTACCAGCCAATCATATTGTAACTAATACAAGAACTCTAAATGTTGTACACACAATTACAACACTACATTGAGAATCCACAAACTGAATAAAAATTTACAAAAGTGTATTAAAATTTTATCTCTTTTTCAAGTTTTTCAAGCAGGTTATCTACTTAATTGTTGTAAATATTAAAAATTGAAATTAAGTATAAAAATTCATTGCAAAAGATAACAGTTGCATGTCTTACTAGGTGACCAAACAACAAAAAAGATTAGCATTTACAAATTATCATTAAGTGAACGTAGTAAATTTGGCACATTTTGATTTTTAAAAAAATTTGCATAATGCCATGAAAACACTAAAAAGTAAAATACAGCAAAGCATAATGTATAAAATCAAACTGCTTAAGCCCTGGTAATTTTTATGTCTGTCAGATTTACTAACTTAAAATCAAAACAAGGTATTTAAACATTCTAGCAGCACAGTTTTTACCTAGGATACCAGACTTAAATAATTTAAGCTTAGAAGGTAAGTTTAAGGTTTTGGACTGGTTATATTCAAAATGCCAAAGTAACCAGAAATGACCTAATTTCATTCACATGTTCAAAACTGTTAGCAGTCTTCTTATGAGATTTAAGCAGCAAAATGTTCCAGTTTAAAATATAAATTTTACTATTACAGATAATTTTTTTCTTTTAATATCATTGAGGTTAATTATTCATCAAGCAACTACACAAATATAGACTGCCTGTGGTAAGTGATTGACAACACAAACATCATACATAAACTACAGTTCACCACTATAAGAGACCTGGTCTTTTTTACACTTTGCCTTGATCTAGGATTACTAATGATGGGTGTAATTCCCTAAAACTTGTCAAACTTAGTGACAAACAGGTTACAAATCCAAAAATAGCTAGGACCTCGTATTTCTTTTTCACCAAAAATCATAATTTTTGTAGACAGATAAGAAAATTTACATTATTTTAATACATTCTGGTTTGAAATTTCCATCCTGTCTAGTACTAATAAATGTAATATGTTAATAATCAACCCTTAGTATTACTATATACTTTCCACTTATAAATCTTTAAATGAATATTTATGATAGAAGTTGATGATAAATGGTTAGAATTTTTTACTTGTTTGTTGCTAAGTATCTATCCCATCCTCTGATGATGTTTCCGTAGAGTTGGGTATCTTCCAAATAGCTTCCTTCAAAGGCATATATCTGTCTCTCAAGATTAGCCAATGTCTCCTAGGAAACAAAAAATACATCTTAAGAAAATTATTTCTTAAAGTCAGTATTTCCCAAAGATAATTTCACCCATTTATCAAGTAATAATTCATAATTTTATACATAGAAATAAGGAAACCTTTTATGTTCTAATAGTGTAAAGAGTGACAATATAAAGAATTTCAAATTTTCTTGCAGCAAAATGGACAACAAATTTATAAACGGTTGTTCATGATTATTTTTATGTGATATTTCTGCTTAAACACAAGTCAAGTCACAATTAGCTCAAAAGTTGACATCACATGAAACAAAAATTATACACTTCTAACCAGTCTCACATTCACAAATACAATGCAATAGTTTTTTGGTTTATATTTGGTTTGCTGAACACTGTTGGTACTAATTTAATGTAAGGCACCATTTTTCTGTTCATTGTACAACTATTTTATATGCCACAAACTCATAAGTGTTCTAACAGTACACTGGATACAATAACATTAACCAATTCAGTACACTACAATATAACTCACAATAAGTTGCAACACTTCCAAGTTCTAAAACTTTTACACTTGTGTGTGAGTCATGTGCAGAAAAACTTTTAGTACTTTCTCAATCCTAAATGATAGCACTTTTTTACAAGTTCTTTTTAATCAGGTATAATTCTGGTAATATTTAAAAACATATTTTAAACTAGACTTTTCTTTCCCTAAACTACACTATAACCTACCATAGTTTTGAAGAAAAAAATGTGCATTAATCATTCCCTATGTCAATCACAGAAAGATTTGCTTATTAACCCTTACACAACAGGCTCATGTATAACGTACTATAACTCTGAAAGTACTTAGTGTATGTTCACATAATTTGGCAGGATTTCAGTAAACATTACAAGTTTTTTGTAGACAGTAAAATCAGAATTTTTAACGAAATACTTGTACTAAAAATTTGTTCATAAATATATGCCGTGAAAGAGTTCACCGCTCCGAGTGCAAAGTGATTCTGAAGTTAAGATTTAAAATAATTTTCTTCGTCTGAAAATTTTCCAAATTTCATTTGAGTAATATCTAAAAAAATAATAATAATATTTTTTTCAAAAAAACTTTATATTCAGTTATTTTCTCTACCATAACTCAATATGGGGTTGGTCTATTTGACTGACCTTGTAACCACTATAAAAAATTAGAAAATAAATCTAAGTTAGCCTTTTCTTGCTAAAATGACTGCAACTTGTAACAGGAATTCATAATTGTTTATTCTAAATAGCTTAAAGCTTGTAATATTATACATCTATATATAATTAATTTCATTGTTTTATTCACCTTTGAACCGTGTCTAATTAACAAACCTGCCACAAAGTTGTAAATAATTCAGTGAATGTTACCATCTCAAGTTACCATTGAATTACGTAAAGCTCAAGCTGCTCACAAGAATACCTAAACAACAATTTTTTTTTTTATCTTACCTAATCCAACCTAACGAGTTTCTAATTTTTACATTTTACTTACATTTATAATAATAACTAAAGAATACACATGAAAAACAAAAAATACAGTACTTACCTGGATCTTTTTTTTACTGTCAATGAAACTTAACTCTACTTTTTTAAACTAATAGTACTACTATGCTAAATAACTTTTTATTTAATTAAATATTGCACCTATGAACACAGAATAATAATACACACAAAAAGCAAACAATGTTCAAAAGCTATCATAATTTCTCTGGTTTTTTAACTATGCTATAAAGTATAAGAGCTTTTAAAAATTCAGCTATGCTTGTTGATAGAATTTCCATGAGAAAAAATTTCAAAATAGACAATGACCTGTACAGAAAACAACATATGTCATTTAACAGATCAAAACTTTGGCTTTCTATTAATTACAAAGAATATAGTATTGTTACGAAAGTGGGGGTCACGTGACGAGTATTCTAGAAGATTCGCTAGTGTGTTACAACAGCGGGGTCACGTGACAAATATTCTAGAAGATTCGCTAGTGCGTTGCAACAGCGGGAGTCAATTGATGCTGGTAGCATGTGTTGAGAGTCTTAGAAGTTTTCTAGAACAGGCAGTATTA